GCGGAGCTTCTCCGGCGAAAGGCCTTCCACGGCCAAAACAAAGAGGAAGGGAGGGGGAAGGGGGGGCTCACGGGTTGGAGGGGAGAGGGGGGCTGCCGGTTGGTTGGGGGAGAGAATGAGAGGAAAGAGAGAGACTAGAAGGCTTATAGAGTGAGTGAGTGAGTGGAGTTGGTGAGCTACTTCTCATAATGCCCAAACTACCCCTAATCAAGGGTTTGAAAATCAATCAAGCTCACTAGTGGAGGGGCATTTTGGTCCTCAACATTTTGAATTATTGGGCTGATGAGACTAAATTTTAAACTCCAAAATAATGTCCAATTAAGCCCAAAATTCGGAATTCCAACTTAGGGGTACAAGGGCAAAACAGTAATTTTCCGGTCCCGGGTCAAATTTCCAATTTTTGCCTCTATGGATCCCAAATATGCGTGGCCACATAAAAATGACGTCATCCTTGAAAATTAGTCGCACACGCCCACGAAAATCGACGCCGAAGTTCGGACTAAATTCCACGATCGTTTTCACTCAATTTGCAGTTTTAGCGTCTCTCACTAACGAGCGGCTGTTTAGGGGTTACGCGTATCGACCTAAGGCTACTCGAGTCGTGACGATCCCGATTTCCCAGAGAACACGAGGATTTATCGCTAGTCCCGGAGGTCGCGGTCGTCAGGAATAAGTTCGGGATCGTTCGTCGTGCGTACTCTCGGTCGTACGGAATCACCCGCTATCCGATCGTACGTCGTCGACCGAACCAAATCCGTCACTCTCTTTAGACCGGCCCACATTGGCACAAAATATTCACCCGTCGTACCTCGGGATCGGACTCAATTCACGGTTGAGTTCTTGGGTCCATGTATCGTTTTTCCTAGTTAGCCTTTCCCTACTTGTCAGTATCCCGAGAATGATCAGTTCCGGGCGAGACTTACTAAAATGAAATGAGTAATACATCAATTTCATTGATCTCGAAAGTGAGTCGAATTTCGGGATGTTACAAAGAAGAAGAAAGAAAGCAAGGGAACGGACCATCTCAACAAGTCCTTTACAAGTGTATAGAAAGAGAAGAAGACTCCTCCTTGATGAAGAGGATGAAACAGAATGCCTTGATATAGGAGAGAATGTTGGTCAAGAGCATTTTGAGAAAGAAAAAGAGTCCATAGGATCTGCTGCACAAATGTCAGAACCTGCTGACAAGGATTCGGAACCAGCACCAGACGAATCGAGCTTAAAATAATGGGAACAAGGCACTGTTCCTATGGTGATAGAAAAAGGTCGATCTCCATAACCACACCGTGAACAAACAATGGAAGAGAATGTTGCTGCAGAATATGCAGATATTTAGGGGGAGATTCCGACCGAGAGAGAATGTGAGTTTCAACAGTCTGCACATGCACATGTCCAGGGATCGCCTTCAGAGGATAGGACCATACTCAAACTTTTGCTAGAAATTAAAGAAAAACATTCAGTTCTTGAAGAAGATATGAAGAACCTTAAGGCCATTATTGAGGAAAACAGTTAGAATCTTCGTCTTCAGGCAGAACAAGACAAGGCAGATCTTGAGAAGGCAATTGCTCAGTATTCAACCAACATGGAGCATGCTGTTGATCAATGTTGTCTCAGAATTGAGGAAACTGTTCAAATCCTGGAGAATTTCCAGCTTGTTCGAACCCCTTCCAAGAAATAGCTTGCTTTATACCCCTCTCTTGATTAAAACTTTGCAATTGGATGTGTAATTTGAACTATTACTTTGATTTGGACTTGATTTGTGTGACTGACATGGTTATTCAGTTTGATCTTTAATATCCATTTTTGCTGCTGACAAAAAGGGGGAGAATATATGCAGATTTTAATGATGTAGGGTATTACTACTTGATATGCAGACATAATATGTTTTAACATGCAGGTTATTAGATGGACTTGAAGAAAAGAAAAGGACACAGATCTTACAATTTGCACTTATATTTATTATCTGTGCCTTATGCGCTTAATAGATATTTATGCTTACTTTATCTTTTCAAATCTTTTAATCTGCATGGAAGTTTTGTCACCATAAAAAATGGGGAGATTGTTGAGGAAATTTCCTAATAGATTTTGAAGTTGACTAAACTATCAATGTTAATATTGTAAATCTGATATATACTCTGAAGTATTTTGATCCTGGCAAATATATTCTGGAAGTGGCAACTTTAATACTTCAAGCGAACTTAACTTTTTGAACGCTCAGACTTTACGAGTTTCAGAAGGAAAACTTCAGACTCTACGAGTTTCGGAACGAGAAATTCAGACTCTAATTTTGAAGAACTCAGACTTTACTGAAGACATACGTTGATTTTGTTTCTGACTGAAAAGCAAGAACCAAAAATTCTTCAGACTCAGAATTTATTTAGAACGAAATATAACGGCTAGTGATCTGGCGTGGATTTCACAAAAGGAAAATTTTGATTGACTCAATTTAAGGCTAATTGATTGACAATCAATCATTATGGCAAGTATATATCACAACGGATAAAGCTCTACTTATGAAAATCAAGATTCTGGTTGTTTAGGCAATCAGATTTAGTGGGATTCTGATTTTGTCAACCAACGGCTACTTAATCCATTTTATACAAATCTGTCCAAGGTGAAGATCGGAAGATGATCCTCTGAAGACTGTCCAATGGCTAGTTTGGAAGTGAAGAAGTATAAAAGGAGATTAATAAGGAGCAGAAGAGAGCGAACGAAATCAAGAATCAACAAGTCCAAAGTTTGAGCACATTCCGATTCTATTACTTGTCTTTCCTAAGCTAAATACTGAGATTTTGAGGGACATTATGTAAGAGTGATTGTGTGAGATAGAGAGTTCTATCATTCACCGAGTGTTATCACACAGAACTTGTAATCCCTTTTGATCATATAGTGAAATCCAGCCAGTAGGCAATCAGCATGGGAGAGCGGACGTAGGCTTGATCTAAGCCGAACCACTATAACTTCTTATATGCAGTTTTCTCTATCCCTAATCTATCTTTATATTGTTTACACTACACACTAGCACATTCAGAATATGAACATTGTTCAAACTTTACTGATTATAAATCGTTTCCGCTTTAAATTCTTCAAAATCACTCAAATCACCTATTCATCCCCCTCTAGGTGATACTTGCTAGCTACATCAAAAAGGAATGTTCAAAATCGAATTCATGGGTATTAACATACCCAAAGTCATAGATTCTATTCAATTAAAGATGCCAAAGTCATCTCTAGTAAAGTTCTTGGCAACTTAATGTGTATCCTCTTTGTTTAGACCATATATGACTCACTCAGTTTTGCCCATGACCAAAATTTTCTTTTGGTAACAAAGGAGGGCCAGAGCCTAGTACATGATAACTCTATGGGGAAAACTAACTCCAACTCGATCACCTAACAGGAAAACAATCGACCCATTTGACGGTGTATCCCGGAGATAATGTTTCGTACTAGTAATCGAAGCAAAGTTTGCTAACCAATCAGCACACCGATAGCCTTCTTTATGGATATGGACCACCTATAGACACTGTAAAATAGAGGATCAAACTCCGCATCCATATACGTCATCATTGTTGGAAAAACAGTTAGATAATATAAAAAAATAATGATTGTTGGAAATTTGTTGGAATATATGAAAAATAAAATAAAATGTCTGAGATGTGCTAGTCATTGTCCTTAAGGATAATTCCGCCCTTCGGAGTACGAAACTTGATGCGTAAGACTCTAGCGGCTATCCTCCCAAGATACAACAGACCTTCTTCTATAATCCGCACTGAATATTAGAAGGAACATGAACAACATTATGTGTATAACCTAGCAAGGAAAGAAAGATTTGGGAAGAAAATGATATTTCTTTTATAATTATGTGTATATATTTTGATTGCGTTTTGAAGTTCTATTTATATTCAATGAAAGAGCCATTAAGAAACCGTTATAAAGCCGTTGTAAAATAATGAAGGATTTATAAAGAATTAAATCAAACTTTACAAAGCTGTTAGAAAGCCGTTATGCGTCCGTTACAAAACCGTTACAAAATGATGCCTTTATGGCGGTCATAAATTCTAACAAATATTTCAAAACTGCTGAAATATCATAACCACATAGATCCTTTTGCTGACAAAGTTGTAACATCTCCGGTAAAGCTTGCGAGTTCGCTTCCAAAACTATGTTGTAGAATCACATGGAGATAGCCAAAGATAGACTCCAAAAAGTTTGAAGAACAAATGCCCAAAGGTTTGGCAAAGCCTCCTCTCCCAAGTTCCGAATTCGTCTCGAATAGAGGCTTTGGCCCCTCTGTGGGCTTAATTTCACTTCGTGTCCTTCAGTCCTCGGATAAAAAAATAATACATTGAGTTCAAGACGGATTTAGGACATTAGTTCACGTAATTTCTGCGTCGGTCAACTCACTGTGCAATCGTCATTCGAAACTCCGTTTCCTTTCTCAGAAGAAAGAAGATGTACTAAATAAATGAGAAGGTCCCTATTGGCCCCCATTGCATTTGTCATGAGAAGAACCGGTTGACCTAACCAATCTTTTGTGAGATTTTGTAATCTTTGCTAAATCCATCCGCAAAGGATTGAGAATCGCCCAAATCCGTGGGACTGACGTGATCAAAGCTCTACAAAGTAACACCCAAAAACAACAAATGCCTTCTGTCCACAGTATTGTTTATATCGACCCATGTTGTTTAATATCAAGGAAGAAGGTGGGAAATTCACCTTTCAAAATCAGCAATTATTCAATGCTCACACCACCGCAACAAGCAAACTACAAAGACCTGCCAATGACCTTTTTGTTATAGTTGACTTGCAATTTGTTGAAGGTCTTTCTTTAATCCGCGAAAACGACTTGAAATTTCATGTAATTATAACAATCGTCGTTTGAATCAATCCACTCGTATCAGACACTTCACACGCCAGATAGAAAGAAAGAACCAAACAATTATCCAATACCAATCTCTCTCTCTCTCTCTCTCTCTCTCTCTCTCTCTCTCTCTGTGAAAATGGCACGGCAGCCTCCAATCCAATTCATAGAAGCAGCGCTATGGTGCACAGGCCCTTTTGAGCTATCCTACACAGACCCTGACCAGAAATGGCACATAAGAAGAGACATGCTCTCACTCCTCCAAGACTTCCCCAACCTCAGCCCTTCAATGAAAACCTACATCCACAATGATGGCACGATCGTGAACCTCCTCAATGCCTATGGCACAATCCATGTCTCCAGCTCTTCTCCCCAAGTCCCCCTCACCATTTGGCTCCACGAGAACTACCCTTACACGGCCCCAATCGTGTTCGTGGGCCAGCCGGGCATTGCCCCCTCCTCGACGATCCACGGTGAGCACCCCTTCGTCGACCCCTCGGGGCTCACCGTGTCGCCGTATATCCGAACCTGGCAATTCCCTAGGTGCAACCTCAAAGACCTTGTCCACAACCTTGTCAAGATATTCTCTCGTGACCACCCTTTTTCCTGTTCACCCACTTCTAGTCCCTTCACCCACCCTTCCATGGTCTCGAAGAAGGAGGCGCTTGATCGACTTGCGGGGATGCTTCACTACAGCACCGTGGCCTTGAGGTCAGAGACCGACGAGGAGATCAAGGAGCTACTGGCCTTGCAAGAGGAAATGGACCAGCGGGTCGCAATCGTGACAACTATAGTCCAAGGGCTCGAGCGCGAGAGGTGGGAATTGAGGGATAGGGTGGTAGGGTTGGCCGAGGAAGCCGATGTCTTGATCAACTGGCTCAAAGTCCACGACACGAAACGGGCCGCGGCCACGGGGGATGACAACGTAGATGATTTGTTTGAAGGAGTTGATGAGGAGTCCAAGTCGAGGGTCCAGTGCTTGGCTGCAGAAATGTCTATAGAGGATACTATCTATGCATTGGATAAAGCAGTTGATGAAGGGGCTGTGAGTTGTGAGACTTATATTAGGCAAGTGAGGAATTTGGCAAGAGAACAGTTTTTCCACAGAGCCATGGTAGTCAAATTTGAGACGTCTCATCAACTTTTATAGGACTTAGTACATCTCCTGTCATTTCTTGCTTCTCGATTTGGTGTGCATATATTTCAGTTTTGGAATGAGTCAATGGCTAAGTTTTTACATTCAACGGGATAGTTTTATTGAGTTTAGAACCAGGTTTTGTATTGGATCGGAAGCTTTGTAACAATGTCATTTCAGACTCTTAGTTAAGTGTTCTCATCAAAATTCTCGCTAGTCTTGACCTTGTTTGAAAAAGCATTATGAACTTATTACTTTCATCTGATAAACCACCGAACTCATTGTCGATGTAAACTGTAATATTTGCCTCTTCTTTTGACCAGGTCAAAAGACTTAGGCTGAAAAAAAAAAAAAAAGAAAAGAAAAGAAAAGTCAAAAAGTGAAGATAAAAGGAAGAAGCAGCGGCTGGTCGGGAAAACAGAAGAGAAAAACAGAGGAGAAGAAAAGGAAAAAGGAGAGGAGAAAGGGAAGAAGAGAAAGGGAGGGTTTGTGCGCGCGGGTCCTTGCCGAGCCGTTCCGACTAAGTAACGCAACGACGAGTAAGTACTCGCAACCCTCGTTAGTCCTATCGGAATAATTTTTCGATTAGGGCTCGGAAATAAGAGTTATGTGGATTTGAGCTGCGTAGTCCAATTTTTGGGTTGTCAAGTCTTAAATATCCATGAAAATGAAAGATTATGGTGTTGTGGGGCTGTGCGTTTTGACGGATATCGATTCGGAGTTACGGTTTGTCCGGAATCAAATTTTGAAGTTGAGAGCATAATCTGGAATTTCGTGAACAGTACTTTCCAGGGCTTTGATTGTTGTTTTTGGGCTGTTGTTTGGGTTGGCTGTGTTGGGACATCCATAGTATGCTGGATGGGTTTCGTTTTGACTATAAGAGCGCGCAAAACGGAGTCCGGTGGAGGAAGTTATGGCGCGTGGAAATTTGGCGCGCGAGTTGTTCGTTGTGGTTGGCATTAGATTTTTTCCATTGAGCAAGCCGTCGTAGGCTCGTGGGTGTCGGATTATTGGCTAGTTAGCCTTAGCTTATTCGAGTCGCGCGTTAGGGGTAAGTATTACTCGGTTTTGATTCGTTTTTCCGTATGTTTGATAGGATTTTGGAACCGTCGGCTCAAGTATCACATATGGGTTAGTTGTGGATTACCAGGTGAGGGACATTATATCTTCTATGAATTTACAAATTCATATTTTGATAATGAGATATAATTTTTAATACAGTGGAGCATGTTTTCTGCATAAATTGGATCGATCATTTACTACCTTTTGTCGATTGTGAAATGAGTTGAAAAGTCTGATGACGTTATTGAAATGAAGCTTTTGTGAATGCTTATATTAAAGGTTTTGTGAAGAGGATTAGCCGAGGGCTATTCTTGTTGTGAAATGTTTTGTGAAATGGATTTATTGGTGTTGATTATGGATTTCTAGATTGAGTTATAAGTTGCTGCTGCTCGTATTACTATGTTGAGAACCCGTTGAGGGGGGAGTATGCATACTGTCAGGATATCCTTCTGGGCCGAACCGCCGGCTTATAATAGGTGGTAGACCTTGCCAAGAGGGTTAAACTTGGTCGCCTTTGTCACGGCGTTAAACTTGACCATAGTTTGATTGCGAGCATGAGATTGGTTGATGGATTGACCATCAACGTGTTATGTGATGAGACTAGTCAATGGATAGACCATTGATGATTGGCTATTGTTGTTAAGTGAGTTTTTATTGAGAAATCTGATACGAATGACTTTTATTGAAAAGTTATTATACCTTTGAGATATTTTTGGTTATATTGTACATTGAGTTTGAGTTATGAGCTGTGATATTTTTATGCTATTGCACAGTAATTGTTCGACCCACTTAGAAGAAATATGTTACTCACTGAGCCGTGGTAGCTCACCCCTTATCTTACATACCTTTCAGGTTCTTCTGCTGGCCGCAAGTAGGGCGTGAGCGGGCGTTAGTCGGAGGATTTCTTTTTGATTGTGGGATTTTGGGTACGTTGTACATATTGACGTTGAGCTATTGGAATAGTTTTTTTGTTGGATTTGTATATATCCTTTTGATGGTTTTAGAAAGCTCTGATGTTTTCGAGTCTTGTTTAAGTTTAGGCTGCGTCCTTTGGGTGAAAGGACGGCCGTGTTACGATCCCGTTTTGGTTGTATTCGGGGTGTGACATAAACAATCCTATGAACTTGTTACTTTCATCTGATACATGCATGTTTCGCGCCTTTCGGAAGGTACTTTCGTCAGTACAAACATTGAAGTGGGCATTTTTCACCTGTGATAAGGCTCATAGGGGGCTATTGAATCAAATTAATCATATTCAAAGGTAACACGAAAGAAGGTCGAGTGTGAGGGGAATTTTGAGAAAAAGGACTTCACTTTAGATGGCTTTCAGAATTTCCTCGTCGTCTATTTATCCATTGGACAAGCATCTGAAACCTTTTTTTTTTTGGTGTAAATATGTAAATATCATTAATCAGATGAGGTACAAAGGCTTAGGGGAAACCCTTAGCATTCCAAAGAGACTAATTATGCGAGAAGATGAAGGAAGGAAGGAAGCCTTCATAGAGTAGTCAATAAAACATTTGCCTGGAAAGGCCTATACTCTTAATAGTATGACGCTCTACCTCTTACAACCTTTCAAATCCTAGCCAATAGAAGATAAGCTTCAATCAACTTGTTTTGAAATCCTCTGCGGTTGCTTTCCATCCATATGCAATAGATAGTCGCTAAGAAAGACAGCTTGAGGAGTCTCACCTCCAAGTTTTTGCCCTTGGCGGTCCCGATCATCCATTGAAATTCTAAATTCCAACCTCTTGCAGAACTCCAAATTCTATTTTGTGCCATAATACTACACCATACACTACTTGTCTAGGTCCACTCAAAGGTTACACTTGGTATCAACTGAAGACAACCATCGTGATATGGCTACTGCTGTCTGTAGCCTATCTATACAAACAAGCCAGCCGATAAAATTATGCTTGCTAATATCACTGGTCGAAATTAATTGATACCATTCCACGGTCGGTCCCTCCTGTCTGAATTCCTTATATATCTCTTTGCAACAGTATGTTTGGCTAGAGATAATAGGTGTTAGAGCAAGTCTTAGCTTGAGAATACATAGCCAACTCCAAGCCATACTTCCATTTATGTCGAGTTGCATAATAGGAGTACCTCTACATTTGATGTGATGAACCCAAGTACTCCATAGGAATGGCGACGGATGATTGATGGGCTCTAAAGCATGTAGCCAGCAATACTTTATTCGAGAGTTTCATATCGAACAAGTCTAGTCCTCCCTCCTTTTTTGGTGAGCATACTATTTTCCATGCAACTTTGTGGGATTTGTGAGTTTCAGCATTTCCTACCCATAAGAATTGCCCAATCTTCTTTTCAATCTCGTAGATAGTTTGCTTTGGGAGGAGAAACATTGCATCCAGTAAGTGCAAATGGAAAAAAGTACCGATTTGGCCAACTGAAGTCTTCCTGCGTAGCTGATATGATGCATTCCCCACCCATCTATTTTCTAGAATATCTTTTCCGTTAGACCCTTGCAGTACGCACCCATCTGAAACCTTTTGTTGGACTAATACTATAGCAATGAGATAATGACGATCAAATCGGTACAATTCGAAGACGGTACAATAGGGATTGTTTTGAATTTGAAGTCAAATAACATCAGTGTTGTAGTAACGAGCGACGGATTCGCGATACAAGAGGAAAGTTCCGTAAAACTAATTGCTCTATAACTTTCACCTTGCTCAGTTGGAAGAGGTAGGATCTAGTCGTAGAAAGCAGAGCTTGCTTGACATCTTAGAGTTTTTTTATTTACAATTTTTGAAACCTGCTAATGTTGTGGCCACTTTTCATTTTCACAGAAGTCGGCAACCAAGTGAAAATCCGGTCTGATACGGTTTAATTGAATAACAGATGACCGGTTTGGTTGGTTTTAGCCAGTGGCACAATGTTAAGAAGCGGACTGAAGAATTGACATTATTTTGACATTCCGATCCCGTTCGTAAATAATTGCTGCTGACAGAACGAGATAATAATAACTCGTATTTGGCATATTTGCATAGCTAGGATATATCAATGTATCTGAATAGAGGCGATCAATGGATGGGCTGGGTCGAGCAAGACCCTTGAAGCTGGCCAAAAGTATTGCCTAATCTTGGCCTTCTAGAAAAGAAACACAAGAAATGTGCGGGGTGAGTGGGCCTGGTTCAGGCTAGCTGAGTCGGACTAGGCATTATGTCTATAAGTCCTTGTCCAAGCTCTCCCACAAGTACCTTAGGTCATTTCTAGCAACAAGCCGAGCCCATTACCGGGTCCAGATCTGAATAATCAGCTATCTTTGTCCCTTAAAACCGGCACTCCTTACTTAATTTTTACGCTAATTTATAAAATTAACACGCGGGCAGCAATGAAGCAGAATTTTGAAAAATCACTTGAGTTAGGCATTTTAAATCGGAATATCAAATTTCAATAATAAGGTCGTAGTTTTTTGGGGCTTTCTACATTAATGTTCGCAAAAAGTGCATTCTCCATTATATCACGTTATAATCGCAATAGTTCACTCGTCGAAAACATCAATCGTTGATAAAGGCTGATTTTCCTTGCCCTTTTTTTTTGTCGAAATTTTCCTTGCCCTTTCACAAATTTAATCTCCATAGCAGATTTTATTCACTGTTGGATTAGTATAATCGAATTATTCAATTAGCCGATTAAGAATTGTGAGGAAGCGATATGATATGACTTCAGAGTAGCCATGCAATAAGAACTATATATAAGATATAGTGCCTGTACACCATCTATAACAACCAATCAAAAACACGCAAATGCTATTAATCAAAAAAGTGTTCAAGGACCGCCAGATTAAACATTGGTTCTGAAAAACAATCCTCCCAAGACACCATTCATTATGTCATGCTATGTAGCAGAATATATATCGTTACATCTTGAAAAAAAAAAAATTTGGTTAAAGTTACATCTTGAAATTGATACCTCCTTTTTCTTAGATGGCTCGAAATAGTAAGGAATTGATTCTATGTTCTTTGTGGCCATGGGGAACCTGTTGATCTCATCCGTCCACGGGTTGCTCCTCTCCCCGCCATCGACGGTCCTGATCACCTCCCATATCACGCTGCTGCACTTGAAACTAGACCCGAATGTGATCTACCACGCTCGATCGCCTTGCTTCATCTTCCCTCTGGCCTCGACGTACACCAGTGCGTACCAGATCGAGCTGCGAAACAGGCAGTTGATAAGGGTCATGGAGCGATCATTGTGAGTAATAATATAATTCTTTATGCGGAAATTCTAAATTTAAGAATCTTAGATTTTCATAATTTTTTCACAACAAGAAGGATGAAGATATAATTTTATCCATAGCAATAACTTTGAGAAAATGATTATTGCAGAAATAGGAGAAATGAAAAAATCTGATTTCTCTCGTTTTAACCAACTTTAAGCTTAATGTATTTTATTTGATGGATGATAAAATACAACTTTTTTATGTATGGTGGGGAGCGGACATGACTTCTTATATAGGTTATCAATATGTGCCTTCAATACGTGCCTTCCTTCAAAGGACATTTTTTTTTATAAGTGTTGTACAATCTCATAAGAGTTGCACCTTCTCATAACCAACAGGTTTTTTAGCATTTAAATAATGATTTAATCATTAATTAATAATATTATGTGGGCCACAATTATTTTTACATTCTCCCACTTGGCCCATATGACATTTCTTTCATGATTTAATGAAGACCATAATGTGCACAATAACATTATGTTAAAATCTTTCTTAAATTGGCCATCGCATAATAATCACAATTAAGTAAAGAAAACTAATGCAGGTCATAATGGTTGTATGTCATTAATCGACACAGTCCCTTCCATATACTACAACTATAGCTCTCTACTTAACATAATCCATAAATGAGAAGTATAGCAATGGTCCAATTATAATATCTTTGTTAGAGACTATCCTGTTAAACATTCATCTATTTCCATCATGTATACTAAATAGAAAATATGAAATATCATAAACACATAAATGAGCTCAGAGTGTCAAATAAATAAACTTAATGGAATCATAATACAATATCATTAATGACGTCCAATAATGCTCATCCTTTCAACATGTTCATTAAATACTTAATTTCCATATGTGACCCTTAGAATACTTGTCGTTCTTAGAGAAGAAAATTGCTGCAAAGTTATCACAATAAATTTTCAGCGGCCTAGCAATACTGTAAAATTTCACAAGCCCTAAAATAAATTTCCGCAGCCATAACCCATGATTAGTGGCCTCAAAACATGCCACAAACTTGGCCTCCACAGTGGATGTGGCAACAACTAACTGCTTCACACTTTTCCCTAAAATTGCCCTTCCGGCAAAAAGGAGCAAGTAGACAAACGTTGATTGTCTTATATTGGCACATTCGATTAAGTCTGAATCTGAATATCCAATCTGTCACGCCCCGAACCCCAACGGGCTCGCGACACCCCTTCGATGGCCGTATTGAATGCGACGTCCCATGACGCGTCGCCGACCCAAACGAAATACGCGAAGACAAACGCAAGCGGAAGCGGAAATTAAATAACCCAGACACTAAATAATGACAAAGGGATAGCACGAAACAATAATTTCATAACGACAATTTGAGACCACATAATTCATACAATAGGCTCCTAAGGTTAGTATCCACCTTCATCATCAAAAAAGGATCGGTGGTAGGGTAGATTATGGAAGACATAAAAAGGGCTCTATCAAAAAGCTTCTAAGCCCAGCACCTAAACACCCCTACGGTGCCCAATCTGAATCGGACCCTGAAGGCTCCGACTCCGAGTCCGAGTCGATCTCGATCGGCTCCTCTTCATGCTCGGACACCATAGGCTCCTCCTCGGGCTCGGGCTCGGGCTCGGGCTCGGACTCCTCGAATTCCTCCTCGAGCTCAGGCTCCGCGGGTGCTACTAGCCCTGGCACGGGTTCAGGTTCTGGCTCTGGAAGGGGCTCGGGTTCTGGACCAGGGTTCTCTGGTGGATTGTCGGGGTCCGTCACCTCACCATCGGGAGTAAACTTTTCCCAGGGCTCCCAATTCACTGCATCCTCATTAGCATGCTGCAGTCCCTTAAAACCACGGATTGGCCCGGTAGTCTCCAACCCGA